AAATGATGAGAACAGAAACCCTCACCTTTTTCTAATTCTTGGGGAAAGATCTTTCACCATTAAGTATGATGTTTCCTGTGGGTTTTTTGTAGTTTCCTGTTACTAGGTCAGGGAAGTTCTTTTCCATTCCTAATTGGCTGAGAATTTTTTTAACCTTTTATTTTATTACTGAGAGTTTTTCTCATAATTGGTTACTGAATTTTGTCAATTGCTTTTCTGCATCTATTGAGATAATCATATGGTTTTTCTCCCTTATTCTATTAATAATGGCATATTAATTAATTTTCAGATATTAAACCAACCTTGAATTTCAGAGAGATACTGCATTTGATCTGATATATTATCTTTTTTATATATTGCTGATTAAACTTGCTAATTTACTGTTAATGACTTTGCAGAGGTTCACTGAGGATACTAGTCCATAGTTTTCTGAAGAGGTCTTTCCCTGGCTTTGGTGATTCCACTCGCCTTATAAAATGAATTGGGAGGTGTTCCTTTCTCCTATTTTCTTTCTCTCTTTCTTTCTCTTTCTTTCTTTCTTTCTTTCTTTCTTTCTTTCTTTCTTTCTTTCTTTCTTTCTTTCTTTTCTTTTCTTTTCTTTTCTTTTCTTTCTTTCTCTCTCTCTCTTTCTCTCTCTCTTTCTCTCTCTCTCTTTCTTTCTCTCTCTCTTTCTTTTTCTTTCCCCTTCCTTCCTTCCTTCCTTCCTTCCTTCCTTCCTTCCTTCCTTCCTGAGCTGGGGAGAGAGAGAATGAGAATCAATCTTAAGCAGGCTCCACATTGGTGCAGGGCTTGATCCCATGACGCTGAGATCATGACCTGAGCTGAAATCAAGGGTCAGATACTCAACCAGCTGAGCTATACAGGCACTCCCCTTTCTCATATTTTCTGAAATAACTTGTGAGCGTTGGTATTATTCCTTTCTTAAGTGTTTGACAGAATCCAGTGAAGCCATGGATTTGTGTGTGTGTGTGTGTGTGTGTGTGTGTGTTGAGGGGGGGGGGCAGTTTGAGGTAGTTTTAAATTATTATTAAGTCAATTCATTTAACTTCTATAAGGTTATTTACATCACTGTTTCTTTTGAGTTCATCAAAGTTGTCACATATTTGTTAGCCTAGGTTGATGTTGATAGGTAGATAGCAGCTTAAAAATACAACTTTATAATCATAAAAAATATAGCTCTTAGTTTATACATTGTGAAAAACAAATGGCTAGTGGGATTGGGCCTAGTGGGGTAGGGTTCTGGTTTGACTATATTCCTGATCTAACTAAAAGTTTATCAGTTTTCTTTTTTTGATCTATTCAGAGAGCCAGCTTTTGGTTTCATTGATTCTTCTCTGTTGTTTTTCTGTTTTCTGTTTTTTGGAATCTCTGATCTCTGTTTCTTTTTTTAATTTGTTCTCTTTTTTCCAGCTTAAGATCATTGATCTTAGACTGTTTTTCTTTTCTTGTAAAGCATTTAAAGCTATACATTTTCCTTTATTAACTAGTTTAACTGCATTCCACAAATTTTAAAAAATATTTTCATTTTATTTAAGTAAAGAGAATTGGTTGGTTTCCCTATAACCCTATTATAGGAAGTTGAATCTCTGGATTGCTTTTTTTTTTTTTTTTTTTTTTAATGTTTTATTTATTTCTGAGAGAAAGAGAGAGACAGCATAAGCAGGGGAGGGTCAGAGAGAGAAGGAGACACAGAATCTGAAACAGCCTCCAGGCTCTGAGCTAGCTGTCCGCACAGAGCCCTACATGGGGCTCGAACCCACGAAACGTGAGATCATGACCTGAGCTGAAGTCAGTCACTCAACCGACTGAGCCACCCAGGCACCCCTGGATTGCTTTTTATTGAATGGATTCTTTAAATATTAGAACTCCAAATACTATTAGAGATTTGAGAGCTAAATGGATTGCATAAGAAAGGATTATAAATTATGTCTTTAAATTGGTTCTTTTTTTCCCAATTGTTTTTATTGTGGTAAAATACACATAACATAAAACTTAACCTTTTAACTGTTTTTAGTATGTAAGTCAGGGATATTAAGGACAGTTGTAATCCTGCCCAAACATCACCACCATCCATCCCCATAACTCTTCATATTGCAAAACTGAAACTATACCCATTAAGCAATAACTCATTCTCTCCTCACTCTGCCCTTGACAGCCACCACTCTGTTTTCTGTCTCCATAAGTTTGACTACTCTGGGTATCTTGTAGAAGTGAAATCATACAGTGTTACTCTTTTTGTGACTGGCTTTTTGCACTAAGCATGCCTTTAAAGCTTATCCATATTGTAGCATATGTCAGAATTTCCCCCCTTTATAAACAGGTTCTTTACATTTTACTAAAAAATGTTTCCTGAAAAAATTCTTTTACTGCCAAACTGTACACTTTAGAATGGTTTTTTTTTTTTACAATTAAAAGAAGTTGTTTTACTGTTCTCATCATTAGACATATTTTCACAGACTTGATTTAATTTTGTAAAAGACTGTATGGTATTTATAAGCAGCTTTAAAAAACAATCTCAAACCTGAGTGTAAAGATAAGTTATCTAAAATATACTTTACAGAAATCATTGCTGTTTAATGTTACTTCAAGGATGTGTACAGAAATAGAAACTATTTTTGGAAAAGTGTACATATTTTTGTTGCATTTATTGATTTTGTTCACATCTGACAAAAAAGATAATGTTGAAGAAGTAGTGTTTTCTTAGATTTGTGTCTCGAAGGAATAACATCTTTCGTTGTGAGACCTAAGTCTTGTGAATGTAGGGAATAAATAGGTAGCCACTTCTGTACTGCATACTGAGAAATTTAAATGTAATTATGGATGTTTAACTAGTACTGTGTGAAAGGGGAGCACAGCATTTTTTTTCCTCCCTCATAAACAGAACAGCTGATTTCCGCCCCCGTTGTACAAGGATAATGGTTATTGTTGAAAAAGAAAATTGTACAAGATCCTAAATCATGATCCTTCTTTCATCACTGTTATCTTACACTTGTGAACATGTGTGCTGCACACCAAATGTATGGTCAGTTGAATTGTGGATGCCCTATTCCTGAGTCTTCTCCACCGCACCATGGTCAGCTGAATGTATATGCTTCACTATAGTTTTTATGAATATGGCAAAAGATATAATAGTTTGTCAACTAAGAACATGGAGCCATATTACTTTTGTGCTACAGCTTCCTTCCTTCTGTTTCTCAGCACGCTGTGGCAGTCCCTCTAAGTCAGTAGGAACAGACTTAACTGACTGCATAGTTCATACCACATTTAATTTAGTCATTTCAACCATGACTGGCATTCCTTTTGTGTTATAAAATTTTGCTATTATAGATAATGTATACCTTCTTCCCCAGATCTTACATAATGATCCTAAAGATCTTTTTTTTTTAATTTTTAAAAATATTGTATTTCTTTTTGAGAGCAAGAGAGAGAGAGCGTGAGCGGGGAGCTGGGGTGGGGGGGGGGGACAGAGAGAGACACACACAGAATCTGAAGCAGGCTCTAGGCTCTGAGCTGTCTGCACACAGCCTGACTTAGGGCTCGCACGAACCGCAAGACCATGACCTGAGCCGAAGTTTGATGCTTAACTGACGAGCCACTCAAGCGCCCTGATCCTAAAGATCTTATTTCTATGAGATAAGATTTCAGAAAGGACATTATTATTAGATCATAAGAAAAAGCTTTTATTTTTTATTTTATTTTTAAAATTTTACTTATTTTTTTAAAAGTCTGTTTATTTGAAAGAGCGTGCCCACAGAAGCAGGGAAGGGACAGAGAAAAAAGGGGAGAATCTCAAATGGGCTCTGTGCTGTCAGTACAAAGCCTGACACAGGACTCAAATTCACAAAACTGGGAGATCATGACCTGAGCTGAAATTTTAAGAGTTGGACATTCAACTGAATGAGCCACCCAGGTGCCCCAATGTATTTTTTATTTTAAATTTTTTTTTAATTTATTATGTATTTTTTATTTTAAAAGCTATCATGAGATTGCTTCCCAAAAGAATTGAGGATCTTTTTATGTTCGTTGGCGGTTTGAATTTGAATTTCCTTTTCCGTGAATTTTTCCTTTGTTGGGTTGTTTATCACTTTCCATTTGTGAGAATTCTTTGTTTACTCTAGATAGTTATTCTCATTTTCCAAAATTTTTCCCAAAATTTCTTATCCGGATGAATTCTGGTTGGTTGGTTTTTTTTTTTTTTTTAAAAGGAGAGTTAGAACTCTATTTATTAAATTAAAAAATAGAGTAAACTCACTTGTAGCTTGTTAATTTGAGTTCTACATAGGGTTTTTGAATGCTATTAAAATACATATAACATTTTAAAATTTATTTAATCTTTGATTTAGAAGGGCCTTAAGAATTTGATTCATTTTTCATAGCAGTGGTGTAATGCATTCAGAGTTTTGCTAATCCTTTCCTTAGTTTCTTCAAGAGAGATTAGTTGTTTATTGTATGGTGAACACTGAACATTGGAGTAGTTATTGGAGATTACTTTTTTTGGACTATTTACTGATTTCCATGCACTGTACTAATTGCTTGACATGTCATTTAGTCCTCTCAACAACCTTACTACTTTTGTCACCATTTTTTGATGATGAAGGAAAGTTAAGTAGCTCACCTGAGTTTATATATAGCTCATATGTTTTGAATCTGGTAAGCAGTCTGACTTAAAAGCTATAATATGTTCTGCTCAAGGATTTGAAACACACACACAAATACTATTTAAACAGTGTTATTCTCATGGAATGGTATGTCGGTATGTCGATAATACTGTATTAGTGACAGTTTATGACTAAATAAACATGTTAATGGCTGAACATATTTTCTAAAACAGATGATATTCTTTTTTTTTTTTTTTGACCAGCAAACCAAACTTGGTCTTTATTTAAGTGTCAAGGTAGAGTCTGAGCACTTGAAGAGTACAGAGGCAGGATTTAAGAGTTTCTTTGGGATACAGGCCTGGGTTTCTTGGCTAGGGAGAAGACAGTGGGTGATTTAGATGCTCACAAGAACTTCAGGAAGGCCATATATTTGGCCAGGAAAAGGGCAGACAGAGTATCTAGCTCTTGCCCAAGTTCCTGTAGAGCTCTCTCCTCCTCTTGCTGCTCTCCCGTCACCTGCTTCCTGTAACAATTGATGTAGAAGTTCACCCAGTCATCCACCGTAGTCATCCTGGCTGCTTCTGGGACAGAAGGATTAGGGAAGACCTGCTGATTCAGCAGAACATTAAATTCCTTCATTCCTGTGGAAATGAGATACTTATTGGCCTGAAGAAGGGCCATCTGCCTAAAATCACAACACTAAAAATTCTGTGGCTGCACTGGTTCTCACGTACAAGGGTTCCCCAGGGATACCCTCTTTCCTTATTCCATGAGGAAAGCAGGTATTTCCAGGACTTGGCAGGCTAAAGCCTAAAACACATCACTTTCAACTATGTTATAGTGGACTTATATTCTGCTTCTCAAATACCACTGCCAGGATTTCTGCTTAAGTAAATAGATACCTACCTGCTTTGCATTTTTTCGTCCATAGGAAAACAGAGTCCTTGAAACTTAGCTCATCTGAAATAAGAAGTGATCTAAGTGTAAAACACATAAGATTTTAAAGAATTTTTATTTTAAAAATGTAAAACATATTTTGTCCCCTCTCTCTGCCCTTCTCCTACTTGCATCGTCTCTCTCAAAATAAATAAACTTAAGTAATAAATAAGTAAATAAACCTAGATATATTGGGTTAAATATTTAATTATAACTTTTTTTAATTTTAGAAATTTTAGAGATTTATATGTGTAGATCACATTATATTTTGTTGTTTAATGATACTCTATGCAGTGCTTCCAAAATTATCTGTGGATCTTTAGTTCTCTCAAATATTGTTCCAAAGCATTCTAAATACAATGAGAAACCAGAATCCTTGTACAGGAATTATATTTTGGAAAGAGAATACTTATTAACTCAAATAATTCTGTAATTAGTAATTATTTTTAAGTAAAATTTTTTATTAAGATTGCTACTCTTTTTTTTTTTAATATTTTATTTATTTCTAGGAGAGAGAGAGATAGCGTGAGCAGGGGAGGGTCAGAGAGAGAAGGAGATACAGACTCTGAAACAGGCTCCAGGCTCTGAGCTGGCAGTCAGCACAGAGCCCGATGCGGGGCTCAAACCCACGAACCGCGAGATCATGACCTAAGCGAAAGTCGGACGCTTAACCGACTAAGCCACCCAGGCGCCCCATAAGATTGCTACTCTTGTGACACCTACGTGGCTCAGTTGGTTAAGTGTCTGCCTCTGGATTTCAGCTCAGGTCATGATCTCATGGTTCTACTCCTGCAGCGAGGGGCTTGCTTGGGATTCTCTCTCTCCTTCTTTCTCTCTTTCTCTCTCAAAATAAATAAATAAACTTAAAAAAAAAAAAAAAAAAAAAAAGATTGATACTCTTCAGACAGGCCTGGCCCGTCACAGCATTTTCTCCAGGGTTACTTCTAGAAGGTGTAGCTGTCTTTGATGGCTTCTCCTTTGCTTCTGAAAAACAAGAGTTATTGGGCTTTGGTGATGGGGCAGATTAGGTGTTTGTAAATTGGGACTGTCTTAATGGAGAATAATGGCTATACCATAACATAGTATTCCTTTTGTTAAATGAAAAATAAAAGAATGGAAAAAGAAAAAAACCCCACCACATAAGAATCAAAACTCAGACTAGCAGATCATCATCTGAACTAATCTAGTTTTAGTCCTGCTAGTCAGAAGGAAGAGAGTCAATATAATTTCAAAATGGTAGAACAAAAATTCTTAATTAATGCCTTGCAAATAGGATGCCAAACCAAGTGCGTGGCAATCAATGAAGTGACAATGTCAGGCCCCTCTCCTACTTTTGGGTTAGTCAGAGAGCAAGAATTCTATAAAAGTATCTGTCTGGAAATCCTCAATATTATTGGTTAAAATACAGTATCACAATTCAACCTGTTTAATGGGACTATAGTTTTTTTTTAATGTAAACTTGATGCCCATTATATAAAACAATTGCAGAAGTGAACTCCTCATGTTCGGAACAGCAATTTATATCTTTTGTTCTTACCGTAAAGCAGCATTCAGAATACAAAATGAGAGAAATGACCATGAAATAATTCTCAGCCAGAAGTCAAGCAATAAGGGGGAAATAATTTCTTTCTTTTTTTAAACATTTATTCATTTTTGAGAGACACAGAGAGAGAGAGAGAGAAAAAGCATTAGTGGGGGAGGGGCAGAGAGAGGGAGACACAGAATCCGAAGCAGCTCCAGGCTCTGGGCTGTCACCACAGAGCCCGACGAGGGACTTTTTTTTTTTTTCCATTCTTTTACTTTTCATTTATCTGTGTCTGCATATTTCAAGTCGGTGTCTCGGAGCACCTGTCTAAGTTGGAAGAGCATGCAACTCTTGATCTTGGGGTTGTGAGTTCAAGCCCCATGCTGGGTGTAGAGATTATTTTTTTTTTTTTATTTTACTTTTATTTATTTTTTTTTTGAGATTACTTTAAAAAAAATAAATAAATATAGTAGCTTTCTTGTTAAGCAGCATATTGTTGGGCCTGGATTTTTTTTTTAATCCAATTGATCAATCTTTGTCTTGGTATGTTTAGACCAACAAACATTTTTTCCCCTTTATATAAAGAACCAGATAGTAAATGTTTTATTTAGTCTTTGCAGGCCATACTGGTATATCATGTGCCCATTCAGCTCTGCCATTGCAGTGTGAAAACAGACTTGGGCAATACGCAAATGTCAATTGTGTCTGTGTTTCAAGGAAACTTTATTTTTTTAAAATGTTTATTTTTGAGAGCGAGAGACAGAGCATGATCATGGGAGGGGCAGAGAGAGAGAGGGAGACACAGAATTGGGAGGAGGCTCCAGGCTCTGAGCTGTCAGCACAGAGCCTGATGTGGGGCTTGAACTCACAAACTGCGAGATCTTGACCTGAGCTGAAGTCAGACAGACTCAACCGACTGAGCCACCCAGACGCCCCTCAAGGAAACTTCATTGACAAAAATAGGAACTGGACCAGTTTTGGCTCTCATTTGCCACCCTGGTTTAGATTTTTTTTTGTTTAAATGTTTTATTTATTTATTTCTAGGAGAGAGAGAGAGAGAGAGAGAGACAGGGGAGGGTCAGAGAGAGAGGNTCCTATTTTTCTCTATTGCTTGTTACTCGCAACTCTGCTTTATTTCTTCTTGAACTAGAACTTGTAGAATCGTGGTAAATAACAGAAGCGATGGTGGGCGTTCTTACCTCATTTTTTATTTTATTTTATTTATTTTTTTAATGTTTTATTTATTTCTAGGAGAGAGAGAGAGACAGTGTGAGCAGGGGAGGGTCAGAGAGAGAGGGAGTCACAGACTGAAACAGTCTCCAGGCTCTGAGCTGGCAGTCAGCACAGAGCCCGACGCGGGGCTCGAACCCACGAACCGCGAGATCATGACCCAAGCGAAAGTCGGACGCTTAACCGACTAAGCCACCCAGGCGCCCCCTCGTTTAGATATTTTATACTCAGTGGAATCACAGCTGCCATTGGATGAAAATCTGTCCTTTTGGTTGTTTTCTATTTGTTTTATCTTTACTTTTTTTGGGTTGTTTTTTTCCCCTCTGCTTTCTTTTGAATTAGTTATTTTCTACGATTCTCTATTATCTCTACTATTGATTTGTGTTTTGCCTCTTAAAATTGTTTTTTGCTGTGGTTGCCCTAGGATCTTCAGTTCATCGTCTACCCTCAGAGTGTTGTACCACTTTATGCACAGCGTATGGGCCTTAAGACTGTCAGCTTCCCGGCGCCTCCCTTTGTGCTCTCGTTGCCATTTCACTTCTACATTATGTTATTTTTAGATTCCACTGGAGATGGACTTTGCAAACTTTAGTTTTTAAATCATTCCTTAACAACTCTCACTGTTAAGATTTGTCATAGTAAGTTATTAGAGTCAAATTTGTACTGACTCACAGGAGTTAAAGGGAGGCAGTAATTAAAAAAGCATTCCTAGTGTTATGTGAAAACTAATTTGACAATAAACTATTCGGGAAAAAAAAAAGTTAGCCAGGTGATTCCAATGAGTAGGTAAGATTGAAAATCACTGGCCCAAAAACCTAACTGTAGAACAGAACATATATAATTCTACATTATTATACTCTAAAATAATTAATAAAAAATGATCATAAGATGGAAGAAAAAAAAAAGCATTCCTTACCAAAGTGCTAGAAGGGATCTGCAGATGGCTGCAGAGTAACGTTGCATCCCATCTGTACCATTCAGAGTTGTTCTTTAATAATAACTTACTCTTACTTGAAAATCTCATTTTGTTTTCTCCATGTTCTATATAATGAACATTGGAGCCAGATACTCTGTTTTTATCTGACAATCTGAAGATTTCTCCCAGTTCTTACATTCTGGATTCTTGGGTTTGTATTTCAGCTTTGAGTTTTTTAAGCAAAAGAGTAATTGGTAACTTTGATTCTTTATGATTTCTAGAAACATAGTTAAGCCAGTAGCTCTTCTGTTATGTAAGTATGCCTGTGGATTTTTTAGATCTAAGATTTCTTTCTTTCTTAAGATATACAGAGTATAAGTATATATTCACTCTTTATAATACGTTGGTTTTCCTTCAAGAAACTTTTTTTTTATTGTAGTACTTGTGTGGTAGTAATCGAAAAGACAACATATTTATTGATCCAGGATACCAGACATTTGAGCAAGAATTGAATAAAATACTTCGAAGCTGGCAACCAAGTATACTTCCAGATGGTAATGCTCTTTATATATGTGTGTGTGTGTAAAATATATATATTTTAATTTTTCAGGATTGAGAGTTTTTTATGTAATTTATGTACTGTTGTATCTGCGCCTCCTTCTGAGTATTCTGGTTCTTAAGGAGGTAATCCTTGTTTAAATAAAAGTGTTGCTAACTTGCTACTGGGATTTTTATTTTTACAGAAGGTATATTAAAAATAGGAAATAATTTAAATTAGCATGTTTTTCAGAGTACTTATTTATGAACTTATCTGTTCACCTTTTGTTGATGTAGTTGATAACTAGTGTTTATGAAGAACTTAGTGATAAATGTGACCTACTTTCTCTGGATTAAGAAACTGGATGTACATTCTTAAGCCCTACAGTGGCTATTGTGATACAAATTTCTGTAAGAAATCTGAGATGGTGAAGAAAATGTGTTTGTGAATGGAAGTCACCTAATTTTTCCCCAGCAATCATGCAGATTTAAATTCCTTTCTGAGTATCAAGTGCTTGTCCTATAGAAGAGCAGAAG